GGACAGTATTCTTGCCTGTATAGGATGTTTTATAGTCCCTCTTAAGGAAGCTCATTCCCACCTTTTAACCATGAATTTGATCCAGTGGCTTCCCCCTTAGGATGTCTCTTGTTGCCAGCTGTTGCCTTCAGTCTGTTAGGCTTATTTGTATTTGGGCCCATATTTATGACAATGTCTTTCAAAAGAGGAAGTGAGGATGTCCATGTAGTCTTTCTGCATTTTTACAGAGTTAAAAACAGAAATAACTGCCTCTCCACTTCATCTCCCAGTGTAGCTCTGGGTCAAGTGGTCCCACTGATTATCTAGTTGGCTTTCTGCCTTGATGCATTTATAGAGTCTTTTATTATTGACTTTGGACCTCCTTGCAAGGAACTCCAAAAAGGCTTTTTAAAATAGTCTCTTGTGGGCAATTTACATTTTAACTGCTCCTTTCATTACCCCCCTCAACACCCTCATATAGTTTCCTTTTCTAGAATTAAATACCCACATGATAGCTTCTGGGCTCCATGTCTCTTTTGGATGTCGAACTTGGCCCTGTTGCGCTCTTTATTGTGTAGTGGCTCAGTTAGAGACTCATGCTCTACACATTCATCACCTTTCTTTGAGTTTTTGTTTTCAAGTTATAGGGCATCTTGATGCATCAGAGGCTAGTTCATTCGTGCCACCGTGTTTGGTGTTTTGGAATCCCTCTGAGAATCACTGACCTTGCGATAAGAGCTAAGGGATGGTCCTCATGGAGCTGTGTGATGCATGAGAAGTAGACAGGGGCAAAAGGAAAGACTGAAGACCACCGTTTTCCAAAAGTCCCTTGGTTCCAGGTGAATGTGAAGTCTGCTCTTCCCATTAATTAGTCTCACATTTAAGACTGAAGATCTGCCTGTCTCCTGAGTCTTATTTTCAAGGTCACAATACCCTGGAGACATTTACCCTGGAAGTACAGACCTGGATTTCAGGTTATTTTGTCTCACTTTCCTATCACACTTCCACAAAGCCCAGTGTGGGGCCTGCCAACTCACCATTTTTCTCTCTCTTCACTTATCCACACTCAACTTCCCTAAGGAAGGGCCTGACCTTGCTCTAAAGGCCAAAAGCTCAATGAATTGTGAGAATTTCTGGTGGAAATTTCTGGTAGAAAAGAGCTCTTCACAAGTCCAACACTAATGTTTCCAAAGCTATAAGTCAGTGAGAACGCCCTGACCCGCACCCCACACACATACACACCTTCCCCATAGTATATTCCTAACACCCCTGAGAATGTACTGGCAGAGTATACATTGGATTCCATCCAGGATAGCATCCTTATGGGACCTAAAATAAGGATTTTTTTCTTTTTAATTTTGCCATGTTTTATTTAAAGAAGGAATTTGACATTTTTTGTCTTCTACTTAAAAATATATCAAGAAATACAAAGGGGAAAAACAACTGCCACAAGAACCAGTTTATACTCTACTCATTCCAGGATGTGGCAGACTAATGGATGTGCAGTAGCTAAATTGCAGAGGAGGAGATTGGCACACTCCACTGTAAGAGAGTGAAAACTTAAAGACAGTAAAGAAAGTGGAATTGTGCACTTGGGAGAGATCCTCAACAAGTATGTAAACAGATAGCTATCAGGTATATTTCACTTATCAAATGGCAAAGAATTGAAAAACAATGAAACCTAATACTGGAAATGATGTAAGAAAAGAAGCACTTATATTTTCCTTTGCTTCAAGATCTGGAGGCAAATACAGCAATGTGTATCAGGATCCTCAAAATATGTATGCCTTTGATTTAGCAATTTCACCCGCAGAAATCTATTCTAAGGAGAAAATAGAAATAATGATGAACCTAGCTTATTATAACTTTGTAGTGACTCTACAGCATCTTACTACGCTGATGGACAGTGACTGTAACAGGGTATGTGGGGGGGACTTGGTGATGGGGGGAGTCTAGTAAACATAATGTTCCTCATATAATTGTAGATTAATGATACCAAAATTTTAAAAAAATGTTTAATTATTCATATTTGTATTTCTATCTCACTAGAAAAAGCATAGGAAATTATTTACAAACTAAAGGTGGTTATCTCTGGATGGAAGGATTTCAGGTGCTTTTTAATTTCTTCCTTTTTTGCTCTTCTGCATGTACTAAATGTTCTCTAATGAACATACATTCAGAACAAAAGATGCATTTGTTTAATTCATATTTACTCAGATAATTCCAGGACTGCAGTATCCAGAGTCACCCTCACCTGAAAGCTTCCAGTTCATTTCTAAATATAACACCCAATCTAGGCAGAATTTTCTGACTAATTTAGGAAACTGGCTAAATCATTACATAGTCACAACCATGAGATCCGGTAGGCATTAGGCAGCATTCCATCTTTTCAGACAGAAAGATAAGTGCTATAGACTGTTTTAGGAGATCCATTCTTCAGAAGTATATTGGAGGTATATTTAACACAGACACCTGTTTCTCTCCTCGACTCTCTGTTATCAGTCCATTTTCAGAATATGGTGCCGTGGGTGTCAGAGACTCCAGGGAAATGAAGAGGGAGGTCTAGAGTGAACCCAGCAGTCTAGAATACTGTCTCATGACCTTTCCAGTCAACCACTGAGAAGTATTTTTAAGCATCTAATATCTGCTGAATGCTAGACAAGGTGAAGCATGGCACAAAAATTGGATCACCTATACCTGTTGTGGCATGTGACCAAGCACACTCCAGGGGAGGCACAGCACTTCATTCTATGCTGGTCTCTATTACAATATTTGTATTTTGGGTCTTGGGTGGTTAGACTCCAAGTCCTATATAAATTCGGAGATAAGAAGGTTTGGGTGTTGAGATATGCTGGTTAAAGGAGGTTACACTCAACAATTTTTTGATTTCCATACTTTTCATTGAAAATTTTTCTAATATTTGAGTCTGCTTTACTTTCTGCCTAAATAACTGCAGCTTAAGAAACACAATTGTAGAGCCTCAGGGTTATTTTCATTTCATTAAGATGCAGACTTTATTGAATGGAAACCAGAAAGATAGGAGACTGACAGGGATGTGAATTAATTTCAAGATAGCCTGAAATTTAGTCTATCTTGGAGAAGACAGACCCTATAAATTCCTAATCTAGTGTCACCTTCTTTCCATTAAAGATCCATCACAGTGAGACCTTCCAATAGATCAAAGGTTCCAAGGGTTGAGATGTCACTCCTCTTGAAATAAACATCTATTATCAATAAGTACTCTTTATTAGGAATTTTATCATCTCATAGACAAGAGGCCTCAGGAACCTCTCTTGGGGAAACTGAGGTCTAGGAAGGGGCCTTGCTCAAGTTCACATAGTGACTTGGTGATGGACCTAGGGTTAGAATTCTGATCTCCTTGTTTTCAATCCTGAACTTCCTACCTTTCCAGTCTGATACTCCAGGCCTTTTACCACAAAGTAAAACTTACTGGGTACTCTGGGGGTCTTAACATTTAGACATAAAAATAAGAGACACAGCTCACAGCACCTTCAGTATATAATGAAATGCTCTTATTTGCAAGTCCACTTTTTGGAAGGTTTCCTGGAACAGGGCTCAGTTCTCCTCAATGCCAGGCACAGGCACTGTCCCTCATGGCCCATTGGTTTCGTGGCAGCACAACTGAGGAAACCAAGATGTGGAGAGATGAAGGGTCATGGGTTCCCAGCCCTTGATCAGACCCTCTGCATTCAAGCAATGGAAACATGAAACATCTCCCGGATGAGCAATCTGATGATCTAATTGGCTACTAAAAACATCAACAGCATCAAGTGTGGCTAATATACCACTTAGGATGCTTTTGGCCATTCCTAATAACAAACAAACAAACAACTCCCCACCCCCAAACAATCTAGGATGTATGTACTGTAGAACAGGAAACGCAGAGTCAGAACCAGTTTCAGGGTCTGTCAGTTCAACAACTCAATGGTCCCATCAAGAAGCCAGCGTCGCTCCCTTCTTGCTGTGTTTTGCAGTGTCTTGCCTGTGCCCTGAAGCTTGCCCCTCATGGTCTCCAGTGGGTAGGGGCTCTGCCAGGCCCTCAAACCCACATCCAGAGGCAGCACCAGAGGCGGTGACTTAAGGAGTCAATTTCTTAAGGAAAAGGGATCTTTCTCAGAAGTTCCTGAACAGATCTCCCCTCACAATACTGGAGAGAAGGTGGTGAAGAGCCTACGCTGAAACCAACCACATTGAGGAGGATGGGCTCAGACTGTTCAGATGCACCCAAGGAAATGAGGTCAGAAGCACTCTCACCTGGGGCACGTGAGGGTGGGGTGGGAGTTAGTGGTGGATGAGGTGCAGGCAGGAGTGGGGAGGTGGCCTCCCGACCCAGTCAGAGCTCTGCCAGAGGACAGCAGAGGTCCCCAGGTGGAGACATGACCACCAACAGCCTCTACTACGCCTGCTCTGAGCTCCAGGCTGCCTCTCCTCAGGGCTCGTTCTGACTCTGCTGTTTCATCCTTTCCAAGGTAATGAGAAGCTGTCCTGACAAAGCCCAGAGGACATAGGGAGCCTCAAGGCCTTTGCACCTTTAACAATATGAATGCTCATGGACGTCCTGGGTGCTCTGTTGACTTCAGGTAAAAGTTCCTGAGGACTCTTACCTTAACCCAGAGTCAGTGATGTGCTAGAGCTGGTACATAAAGTGCCAGGAACACTGACAGGACTTGGCAGCCAAGGGCCAAGTGAGAGCTTGCGGTACAGATAGCCCAGGATTTTACGGTATTCCTTCAGTCATATCTGGGCTGTCACTGTTGGCCTACCCCATTGTATGACCGTACAGATGGGAAACTGAAATGACACACATGAAGGAGCATCAGCATATATATATTTTTAACCTAGCCCATGTACTGTGATAGAATTTCGACTTGCTAAAATAAAAATCGATATTTGGACGGCTGAGTCATGAGCATTTTTGCTTTTTCTTCTCTTCTTTGTTCTCTTTTTCTTTTTCTTTGATTTTGATTTCTAAGAGGAATGAATGAATGTATTCTCTTTTATAATGGGAAAACAGAATAAGCTTTATTTGGAGAAAAAGAGATATTTCACATTTGTCATGTAAAACAGTATAGGCAATCCCCACCTCAAATGAGAAGTCTAATGATCGCTTTTGTAATATTTGAAAATGAACCAACTTTATTTGAATCAGTCAATATCAATCAAGACTGGGAAACAAATATCTATCTGGTTCAGATTCATGAGGAAAACATTCAGCAGTATCTTCATTAAAAGGCAATTTGTATTAAGGCTTAAAAGCAAGTCCTGTTATTTTATCACCACAGTTAAAGGTCTTGAGAAAATCAAGTAACCATTATTTGGAGTGTCTTTGTAAAATAAAATAAAATGTTTGTTCTTTTATAAAAGCTAGGCATCTTTTGCCAACTTACTTAGTTCCCAGCTTATAAAATGGGACAAGCAGGTAGGCAGGAAAGTAAGACAAATTCCAACATCAGCTGGATAGGTTGTATTTTAAATATATGCATAATATCAATATTGCAAGATCTCTAACTATAAATAAAATACCTTAGATAATTGGATCCTTAAAACTATGTTTTGCCAAAAAAAATCAAATTGCTTTTATAGAAACACAGATTCACCCAAACCCTATATGGAGATAATCGTTTATTTTTTGTTGAGGAAGGGAGCATTGGAGCTAGTTCCTTAAGCAACGTAAAATAAAACTGCATGCTTTGGATCATACCTAATAATGAAATGAAAGTATCCTGACACTAAAGTGGGAGAAGAATATTGGCAGAGGGAGGGGAGCATGCATTCATGAGGAGTGCTAAAGGGCATTGACTGGAAAACAACAGGCCTTGTGTGCAGAAAAGGGCCTCAAGGCCAATGATGTGACCACATCTGTTCTAACATCAGAACCAGGATGCTTCACATACACACTTTTCCTAATTCTTAAGATTCTTTTTAATGACATCTAAAAAAAATATGAAGTGATCCCTTGGGAATCATTGAATTTAATTGTAACCATGAGTTAATGCTTTATCTTTCCAAAGAGGGAGACACCAGCATCTTGATTCGCTCTGCTGTTTAAACGGCTCCTGGCCAGCAAGACTAGGGGTGAGAGCAGACATACCTACTGCATATCTGCTGCCTCCAGACCAGCTTGATTTTAGATACAGACTCTCATTGGTTTCTCATAATAGAAAACTCTTACTAGACGAACCTGCACCTTCCTGACTGTGCTTCCCTTTTAATTCTACTGCCCAGGCCTTAGCTCCTCTTAGGACTTAGACCTTCGGGGCCTATTCCACGTATGATCCATTTTGAAACAACTCTAAGATGCTTGGTGTTGTCTGTCTGCAGAGGCTCTGGCTGGCACAGATGTTGCGAAGAGCTTCTTTTGTTTCATTTGACAAATGCTAGACAGTGCCACCCAGGAAATCTTACTCTTGGCATAGCCTTTTTCTAAAGAAAAGATCAAGACCCTTGCTGGCCCCACCAGCAGAAGTGAACACTCAGGACAGTGGTATTTCCTGGGGAGCTGAAACAGCTCTGAGATCATGTGACCAAATGAATCAATTGAATGTACGTATTTTTCACTTTTCCCCTCATTAGTTTGGTGCCAGGCAGCTACATCCCTCCTTTAAATCAAGATAGTCAGACTCGTGCCTGCGATTTTGAATTGCCAGGCATTGGACTTCCTCTGTCAGGAGGGGAAGGAACACCACAGAAGCAGCTATGCTCTGGAACAATCAGCATTTGACTTATCCAGCTCATCTTTCATAGTTACGAAAATCTTTTCTCATCCCTCTCTGAGCCAACCAGAGAGGTGGGGAGGGCTGAGTAGACGGGTAAATTCAAGGAAGTCATTCTCAGTTTGAGTCTTCTTTCTCCCTCTCCCTGTCCCTGTGTACACCATAAAAAAATAGTGACATGGAAGTCAAAGGAGAGAAGTTAATCCAGAATAAAATATGATCTCAACCCAAATAATCTCCTTTCAGTGCCACTGAAATTCTTTCAGAGTGATCAGTATTCATTCAAGACCAATGACAAGGGTCACCTCCTCTCTTAAAATCTAGAGTGCAAACTGCAAACCTTCTATCTTTTCTGAGTTGGTTCTGTGGATGCTTAAGGGCCTCACCACATTGTTGCTGGGAGATGATTTGCTGTGTACATGACAAGGTTATGGCCAAAACACCGGGAGGCAGAAGGAGCTGGAAAAAAAATCTCCATTGAAAAACCTAATCAGAAGGTAATATTATTGTCATTTAAAAATACTCTGATAAATCTGGTCAGAAGACATTAAAGCTCTGAGCCAATAGTCAGTTTCTTATATGATAATCTTCTTTTGAAATAAATAGATATTCTTGAATAAAGTATCCACAAGTGCCTGCCATCCATAACTCCTCCCCTTCTTTCAAATGATTGCAATTGATCGTATAACTGCCCCCCTCCCCTGTGTCTTAATATTACTATTTATATAAAACTAAGTCAACTGCAGAAGGGACATGTAGAAACAACAATATTGATTTGGTTTGGCTTGTTTGTTTTTAAAGACTGTTTTTCAAGTCTGGCCAATTGCTGAATTCTGAGGATGAAAACAGAGTCTTCAGTACCCGACAGCTCCTCTGGGGGCGCTGCTCCACCTGGGCCTCCGCCGCACGGGCTGTGCTCCTCGGCTGTGTTTCAACAGCGCCACTGCGGGTCTGCAGAAAGTGGACGGCCTCTTAGGTCACCGCCCCGCACGCTGTGCTGCCGAATTCAGGAGAAGAATTCCCGAGGACAACAGGATTTCACACTAACTAAAAGGCCTGTGGGATCATTCATGCTTTCGACTCCCAGGAGGCCAATATGGGGCTTTTCCCTACAGGAAAACAGACCGTTTCCTCGCCAGTCCTCCCTTTTAAACATGGCCAGGGACTAAGTTTCCAGGGAATCCTTGAAAAGGTTCCTCCAGAGGTGAAAATAAACAAACTCCTCCACCTTTGCAAAGCCCTCCACCTTATAAATTGTCCTGCTGAGAGTTTTCCTCTTCCTCAGTGGGTCAGCGGAGCACCTGCTTCCTCCCCTCCGCTCTGATCAATGGGTCAGTCTTTTCCTCAGCTGTCCCTGGAGGCAGGTAGGTCCAGGGATTGCTGGGGTTAGAGTTTGTGGCTGTTCCTATGGAAAGGGGCCTGTGCCAGCTACCCTCCCTGAGCAATGAGCCAAGTCCTGGGGTTTCCCGCACTTGGGAGCCCCACCCTCTACCCACAGGCACCAGAGAAGGGGGGACTGCTGGAGGTGAAGGTCTGTGGTGGGTGGGTTTCCTCACAGGGCATTCATTGGGACAGGGAGCTAATGCTTAGTTCATTTTTCTTAGTTTCCTCTGCACAGGTCCCCATGCCCAAGCCAGGTAAGTTGTTAAGGAGGTAACCCTTTCAGGAGTGAAATAGTAACTACAAACATTTCCCTTTGTGTCATCTCGCAGTTGAGTCAGATATTCGGAAAATTAACCCAGAAGGGCATGTATTTTTCTTCAAGTTCAAAACACATGGTCACCCCTTCAGAAAGGCCCATGGACTTCCTTCCTAAGGTCTTCCATGATCATGCCACCTCCTAAGTGTACCCCTCACCCACCTGTGACCACAGCTGGATGGCCAAGCTAGCAGACCTACATCTAGGAAAACGTAAAATGGCTGGAAAGTCATTTCTGGCCAATTCATTTTTTTGGATATAAGGTTGGTAGGTATGTGACATGTCCAGTTCAAGACTTACATGGGAGAGAAGACCTGTCTGAAAGATTCCCAGGTAACAGCAAGCCTCATCAAGAACTAATCTTCCCCCATCCTTCCGCCTCCCAGTCCCATCTGCCTTCTCACAGACCAAAATTCACCCGTGCATAAACACAAACCCAGCCAATGAAACCACTACTCCTAAGCAAGCCAACCCCACGCTGGGCATCCCCTGGGGCCTTTTGGCATTGGCACGCATAGATAAACACTGCCCCCTCCCCTTTCCTTCCCAGTCACCCGAGTTTGAAACTGCACACCCATGTCCTTTCTGGCATGGCCCGGACCGCATAAAACGGAGGTCAGTGTCAGCCAGGTGCCTGAGAGCATTGCAGGCTTCCCAGCACTGCAGCAAACTGTGTCCCAGATGGCTTTCAACCTGGCCTTCAAGGCCATGTGACAGGAGAGTCAGAAAGCTTGAGTGACTGAGGTGTGTCTGCCAGATGCTCAAACGCACAGCCGGCTCCATCCTTCTCACCCACTCATCTCCCATAATGGCAGGGTCTCTTTCCAAAAGGAACTGAAATGGCATTTGTTCTTGGTCTTGGAGTTACTGCCAAAGAGGAGGGTGGAGGAGGGCACAGTGTTGCATGTTTCCAATGCATTTGAGGAGATATTTTGATATTGGAAGAAGGGGCCAGTGGCAGTCCCATATATGGTTCTCTTAAACTGACCCCAAATACACTGAGCCCAGATCAGGCCCAAAGGCTGAGAGGCTGACGATATGCACCATTTCTGCTCACAGATTCCTGCGTGATTAGATGGGGTTGGTGCTGACCTTCCAAAAAGACAGCAGCTGGAGTTCTGATGATGTCAGCAAGATGTGGTCCGATAAACAAAGGGGTGGAAGAGGAGTCTGCGAAGGGGGCAGAGTCCTTTAGAGAAGCTGAGTCTTTCTCCAGCAGTGATGGGGCAAGATGACCATGCTCAGGATCGGCGGAGGCGCTTGGCGACGTCCGCGTAGGCCAACTCAATCTCACTGTCAGCTGCACAGGTGTTGGTGAATTCATCCCGGGCATAGGCGTTCTTGAGGTACCGCCACAGGCCTGTCATCTCAGCTGGAAAATCATAGTTGCGGTATTTCTTGGCTACAATCTACAGCAGAGACGGTAGGACAGAGATGGTGTGAAGGCATGACACAAATCACTGAGAAGGTGTTCGTGGTGGAACCCCATGTGCGCACAGCAGGAGAGCCCTGTGTGCATCACTGTGGGTCAGGAATGATGTTCATAATGCAAGGTGGCAGTGCTGCCCTCTATTTCATTGTGTTTTGTTGTGTTTTGTGTTATGTTTCCTAATAGAATTTGCCCTTTGGCCTTTGATTCTGCTTTAGGGATTTTTTTTTTCCTTAGGAAATAATCACAGATATACACAAAGACTTAGCTATACATATATGATCATGGTACTATTTGGATTAGCAAAAAATGGTACACATCACAAATGTCCAACAGTACATGAATGGATAAATATATTGTCATCCATAAATGCATATTGGAAAGCTATCAAAAATGGTGCTCCAGTGTTCTGGAAAATTCTTCAAGATGGATTGTTAAATTTGAAGCACAGTATAATGCATTTGTGGAAATATCTATGATGACCAAAATGTATATGCCACTATATTACCGGTCTGATTGGTAGAATTAATACTTTTTTTTCCCCCTTATCCATTTTCTTTTACATAAGCATCCTTATTTACAGAAGGGAATAAAAAGCATGAAATGTAAGTTAGATGTTGGAATGTATATGTAGGTTCAGGGTATAATATGGGAGAGAACAAATAATGATTTCTATTTTGTCCCTGGTTGGCCACACTTGAGGGCTGTGGACTTGGGCATTCTGGGGAAGTGGCATTTTGTGTTGAGAGAAATAGTAGCACAATGGTTAAAAGCATGGGCTCCAGATCCCCACTGACTGGATCTGCAATCCTGACTCCACCACTTAATGGCTGTGTAACCTGGGGCTAGTTTCTTAACCTCTCTGAGCCTCAATTTCTCTCTTAAATGGAGGAAATAAGAGGACCTACCTTGGAGTAATAAATTTGTTAATACACATAAGACATTTTGATGGGTGACTGGCCCATATTAAGTGCTCAAGAAACATTACCTATTATTATAATTCAGTGAGACCCACCTTTTGCCCATTTGCAGTGCATTCCTTCACAGGTAGGGACAGGGGTGGTTTCTTATAATAAGGTCTCCCTAGATAGGGAGGGCTTCACAGATGTGAGACCCATGCAGTCACATGGGCCTTGCACTCAGAAGGGCCCTGATCTTGGTCTAATGCTCTGCTATCAACGTCTGAAAGTTCTGAATACTCCTGACAGGGGCCCCTTTACTGTCACCGTGCACTGGGGCCTGCACATGAGCAGTCTTTGCCTCTAGCCCTCTGGGCCTGGGGTGGGGATAGCAAAGAGCAGCCCCTCTCCTAAAGCACTGACTTCTGACTTCTTCCCTTGCTTTTTTTCTTTCAGACAGGTCTCCAGACTGCTGGCTCTGGGACCCTCCCACTCACAGAACCCCCCAGATCAGCCACCCTGGGCTTTCACCTGAATTTTGGTGCCAGGGATGGACAGGGGTCCCTGGAAAGCTGGGCAGAGTGAAGGACAATAACGACTATTGCAAGAAAAGCTCAGTCTCATAAATACAACCACGTTCCTAAGGAGGATGCGTTTTCCCCTCTCCATTCTCCTACATCAGTTTTGAACTTCTCTTATAACACTAAGCTCTATTCTATTCTGAATCACATGTACTGTGTTAGCATCCTTTCCGTCTTCCCTAGCTTGTCAGTAGTATAAGGGTGGGAGCCCCACTGTCTTCATTTCTATTCCCCTCATAATGTAAGTATGCTACTGATGAGAGTAACAACAATAACAAACATTTATTTACTCTGTGCTGTGCTCCAGGAACTGCTTAAAGCACTTAGCTACTTAAATCTCTAAATAACTCTGTAACAGAAAAGGTATTACATTTCTATTTTACAGATGAGCAAAGTGAGACAAAGAGAGTTTAAACAAGTAGGGACTCAACAAACAGTTGTATGTAATCTTCACTATCCTCAGGTATCCTAATACCAACGTGCATCTAGTGTCAAATGTAATACAATCACTTACTTTTAAAGACTGAAGGTGCTTAGCAAGGAGCGAAGGGAAGCCACAAACGATTAAGTGGCTTACACACTGTTACACAGGAAGTTAATTAATCCAACCAATGTCTATTGAGTGATCTCTAATATTTGTTACAGTCCCTGCTTTCTAATCCCCAGTTCTCTCCACTTTGCCGTGGAGCTTGGTGTAAGTGGTAAAGAATCCCGTGTGCCAGTTGCTCAGCTACAAACACACCCTTCTTTTTGCTTCTCTGTGACGTTGGGGTTGGGAAATGCAAAGCACACTGGGGCTTGGCCAGGGACTGCTTGTTAGGCTCTGCCAAGAGGGGATGCTGGAAAGAGCCTGCAACGCCACAGGAAGGAGAAGAGACGTGACTTGTCCCAGTGGCGTCCTGTCCCTGTCAGAATCTCCTTTGCAGCTGAATCCAGTTGACCATTCTGCCAACTCTTGCAGAACCAGTGTCCTCAACGGGCTCAGAGAGCCTAGCACACACAGTGGCCCCTCTGCAGAGACTAGGTCCCAGCCCCCTGGGCCGTCCTCTGAATCTGGCCCCTGGTACCAGCTGAGCAGCACCCCATCTCAGAGATCTAAGCTTCAGCTCTGGGGGGCCCTTATCCGAGTTTCTAAGTTTTGATGATTCCAACCTCTTCCCTTTGCTCCCCTCCAGCACTAGGGGTAGTAGCTTCCTCCTGAAGGTGGAGTCTCATAGTACATTTTGCCTGCCTAGTTCTTCAGTGCTTAGGACATATTTATATTAAATTATCTTGGTTAAAATAACTGGCTGGTGTGTTATTGGCTAGCTCCCCAGTGTTCTGTCCAGCTCAGGTGTCTCACAAGCAAAGGCAATGGACCCAGAGTCCTTTGGCAGAGCATCTGCCGTGAGTGAGGGGGTGAGTGCTGGCCGCCCCCGCCCCCAGCACTCCTTGGCGTCCCTGTTAACTGCAAGGTGAGTGTCCCCTCACCTGGGTCAGCCCAGGGCTGTGGAGAAGAGGCTGTATTGGCTGACAAGTAAGCCCAGCCAGGGGTGGTGGGTGACAAACTGATATAACAACCACAAATCTCTCCACACTGGGATTTGTTTTCAAGTTTATACAGGATGTAATGTGACCTTTAAAACCACAGAAATGTAATTTATGCATATATATTTGTGTTCATGTTTGTATCTCCCTTCCCATTGGCTTCAGGCACTGAACAGATCACTGTGCTGGGTTAGAGCCCTGATGGTGGCTGTGAAAGGCGCCCCCTGCCCAACCTGCACACCCTCAGCTTTTCCCACAGAGCTGGCTCTTTTCCTCACATGTTGGCTTGACCCGGGGGATAGTAACTAGCAGGGAGCCAGACTGTGCAAGTCCAAGCCGGGCTCTCGGTGAGAATGAGGATGAACTCAAAAGAGAGCCAAGTAAGAGAAAAAGAGAGACAGAGAGAGAGAGGGAGACAGAGAGAGACAGACAGAGAGAGAGAGAGACAGAGAGAGAGGATGCACACACGAATCTCTCATGTTCGCAGGAACTTCCGTGCTCATGTTCTGAATTTGCTCTTGCATATGAAAATAGTTAGCTCCCCCAGCCCAGATTAACTTTTGGATTGGAAGCCAAACTGGAGGGCTGACTTGGCTCCCCCTGTGCTCTTTCTGCACTTCAGAGGTTTGCCAGGTCTCTGGGATCTGATAAGCTGGATCAGCAGAAATCCGAGGAGACAGGAGGCGAGCCCCAGCCTTTGTCCCCTTGCAAGCCATCCTCCCTCTGATCCCCGGCTTCCCCGAGTGAACGACTCCCTGAACTGCATCCAAGGGCCGGGGCATAACACAGTCCTTTAGGGCTGGAAGGAACTGGAGAAATCATAGCATGAAGTATGGGGCCTGGGGATCCACATGTTTATCTTATTCTCCAAGGGATTCTCAAGTGGGTAGTCAATACGTGTTGGTGTAAGAAAGGAGAAAGGAGTGAAGGAACAAAGAAAAAAGAGATGAGGAGTATAATCCACATCTCTCCTGTTAAAGCATCAGAAAAATGAATTCCAAATAGACTGAACTATATGCCCCAGCCATGTTGCTAGCTGGTGGCAGATACAGGAGTAGAGCTTGGATCTCCTGACTTCTAGAAAGGGAGTTTTCTATGATATCACTCTGACACAATGTGACTGAACTAGAATCATATTGTCCCTATGGTGTCACCTACTTTTCAGAAAAGACAATAAAGGATGTTTGGGGTATAGATGGGCATGCAGAAACTAATAACTCAAAGAGCCATAAGCTTGCTGGACCTACGGGTGACTGATGGTTTGGCACAGAACCCAAAGTGTCTTCTTAGCAATAGGCTGCATTTGATCAGTCCATCAGCACTGGCATGCGTGATTCCCTCCCAGTCTCCAGTTCTGACTTAGTCTGGGTGGCCACCAGTGTACATACAGCTGAGATTTCAATTCAAGCTGGTGTGCTCTCTGATTGGAGGGAAGCTTGCATGTCTAGCACAGAACTTCAGCTGAAAACCAATAGGCAGATGTCCAGCTGGTAGATGATCGAATCTGATTCTTCTTAGTGAAGGGCAGAAAGAAATTGGTTATCATAAAGACAAAAGCTAGGTGATCAGATGGCTAATGAATATTTATGACACGTGCCCACTGTTACCCACTGTAACACTCCGAGAAGGCCCTATCCGCACAGAGCGTGTTGTCTCACTGACAGGGTAATATACAAACGTGTAAAAGGAGAGAGCAGTGTAGCTACACCATCCCACTGTGTTTTTCTCTAGGCTAGTGAGAGTCAGGAAAGGATGTGAGAAGTGTCCGTTTAAACAACTTCGGCGACACAATTGCTGTCTTCAAGTGAGATGCAAGAGAGCAGCCCTCCTCTGTGCTGCTGATCTAACAGAGGTGAGAAGGGAGGCCTGTCTGGGCTCAAATAAGGAAAGATGTTTTAATATTCACAGCAGTCCACAATGGCAGGGCTGGCTTATCAGGCAGAGGGCTCTTCGCCCTCATAACTGCGCAGTCGCAGCTGCACCAGGCCGGTCACAGACACACAGAAAGCTGTCCAGATTGTTCTGGATGACCTCGGCATTCCCTTCTCTCCAACCCTCAGATCCTAAGATTCCTACAGGAAAGGGTTACACCACATACTGAGGACAGTGAGCATGGGCTCCTCACAGCCTCCTGCTCTGCAGTGGACAGATGAGGGAGATGATGCCTGCATGCCCTGGGGAGTGGCTGCAGGGAAGGAGCAGGTGGATCTGTGCACCAGGAAACTGTGCCTAGGAGGGTACACTGAGTCGGGCGTGGCCAGGGAAAACCTACAAGGAAGAAGCCCTTGGCGGGAAGGACTGTATCACTGTGTATGACAGGACAATAGCAACTGTTATCTGTTGAGCCCTTACAACATGCCAGGAACTTTCATGCCTTATTTACTCTCCTAACTACTCTGGAAGTAAGCAATATCTGTGTATTTCACAGGTGAAAGCTGAAACTCAGAGAAGGTATGCAGCTAGCACGCAGGGGAGGCTGACTTCAAGTCCCTGTTCAGGTGACTGCAGAGCCAGGTTCTCAACCAGCAGGTGATGCTGTCCTTGACTCATTAAACACAGGCGATTGGACCTAAGATGGAGTTGGATCTGGGGAGCCCCTGGGGGCCGAGTTCTCTTACCTTGACCACGTGGAGTTTGGGCAACAGATTGCAGTCGGCCAGGGTCAGCTCGTCCCCGTCCAGGAACCTGCGCCAGGAGCCCTTGTCATCGTCCCCACGGGTGCTGGCGTCAATTTCCTCTGGCAGAGGAGTGCTCAGGTAGTTGTCCAGTTTCCTCAGTGCCTTGGTCAGGCCTCTCTCAAGGGCTGGCACGGAAGAGCAAAATAAGGACCCTTAGTCGGCCTTCTCACCACCAGATACAGCCGCAGCGTCTTCAGAGTGAAGTGACTTACCTGAATCCTGCCCACCTCGTCACACTGCCAGCTCCCCACACCCTATGGAACAGCGATCAAGCAGGTGCCGAAGACTATTGAGTGGCCTGAAAAAGCAAATCTGATCCAAGCAATAAACACTACCTGGTTCTTTTTTGTAAAAAATACATAAATACCACCATGTGGATATACATCAAAGCTTTTATGGTGCTTATCTCCAGCAGATGCGATGGTAATAGCCAACTTTTCATTTTCCTTTTATCTATATTTTATCAACACACCACAATTAACCCTCATAATAATTTTGTAGGGAGAAAGGGCTATTAAATAGGTAAATAACAATTGCATTGAAGTCCTAGGCTAGAGGTGTGTGCCAGATTTTGTAGAAGCATTAGCTATGGAAATATTAATTAACCAAGCCTGAGAAGAGATGGAGACAAGCCTTCTAGGAAGACATGACCTAGAAAAGTAATCACTCTAGAGGGCCAGTGGGTATCAGAGAGGCATACTTGAGTTTAATCTAGGTTATTCTAAAAACCACACGGTCCAAAATGGAGGGGCCAGCACACCAGACAGTGGCTCCCCCCGGAATGAGTGATCACAGCTGCTTGGAAGCCTGTCATGGGCACAGTTCAAATAACGAACTAATGAACGTCCAAAGGAAGATAATGTGGCAGAGGACTTTCATAGTCTTGCCCCAATAATTATCTATCCAGTAATCCATTTAGACACAAGAGCAGAGCAAAATACCAAAAGAACAACTGTTCGAAGCTTCTATCACCCAGTCATTTCCACCAAATCGCACAGTCCATCCTAGCCATGCAACACTAACATAGAAACTGTCCACCTGAGCTCCGAGGACAGAGGTGGAGGGGATGGCTGGCCGGGTCATTAGCCACTGCATTAGTCCCATCCCAGTGGCTGTCTTTCCCAGACTCTGGTTTACAGTGCAACCCTGAGATAATGGGCATCAATCCCAATGCAAAGCCCGCAGATATAAAGGGACTGATGTCCCTGCAGGAAGAGCCTAGAAACCTAAACTGTTGCTCAGATTTTCCTAAATGTGCCTTCTGTTAGCCACTCCCCACATAACCACATTTGTCTTTTCATAGAAGGCCTTTTGTTTGAGACAATGAAATGACACCAGCCCAAGATAAATCAGTTGAACACTTACTGGAATATTTGAAAACAGACTTGAGTTTGGACATAGTTTCTCAATACTTCCTTCTCCCTGGTGTGGCATTTGAACTTGTACTTCATCATCTGCTTTGTGTTTCCAGTTTGGGAGAACAGAGTGAGCAAGGCTGGGAAAAATGCTTGTATTCCCGTTAGTAATTGTCCAGACTGGGATGGGACTGCAGGCCTACCCAAGGGCAGTGGCAGAGGGTGAGCACTAAGCAATGCTTACGCTCCCCACACCTCCCTCACAAAGCCCTTGTGATGTATATTGGGTTCATTTGCTCCCTCAAATCCCTCTACCCCCTTCAGTTATGTAGATTATGATAAAAATCTTGATTATAATGGAGAAAGAAAAAAATGAAATAGAATGCCTGTTGAAATTTGACCAACCGATCTCATCCAAGGGAAAGAGATTTCTGATGGGAAATGAGAAAGTTTCTAATTCCAAAATACCCCTCGGAGACCAAAGCAGGCCACTGCATAAATCTGTGCCCAAATTACCCAGTCTGGGAACTGTCATGAAATTTGGTGAAAGCAGCCTAGAATGGCAACTGAAACTCCTTGGGAGAAAAGTTCTGAATAAACGATCTCTCTAATGATTGCTTGATGGCAGGATAAAGGTTGGCACTGGGCACGTTCGTTGCCTTAGGTCATAACTGTGCCATATAACATACCCAGCTGGCATGTTCTGAGGATGTCTCCATGTGTCAGTTTTGCTACTCGAGTTTGTGCTTTTTTGATCAGGAATGTGGAAGACTGAGTTGGTGATAACCATGGAAGAGAGAAAAAGAGATGAGGCCACGAAGAAAGGGAAGGGGCCACATGGCTGGGGGGCTAACCTTGTGCTTTAATTTTGACACTGCCCAGATTGTATTTACTCTGATGCTCCTGAGGTTTAAGCTTCAAGTTCTCTTAATTGTATGGACCCCTTCCAAGCCCCTGTACTTGATTATTAAAAGTCCTTATTTATGTTTATTGTATTACCTTCAGACCCCACAAATCCTGGAAACATCCCTGATCCTGGCACTTATTTAGTGGAACCTTGAGCCATTCTCTCAACTTCACTGAGCTTAGATTTTCTCATCTCCTCTATAGGACTAAAGATCCTTAACCCTCATAAGGCCATCAAGACGACCAACTCAGACTGTACAGGGTAAGTGCCTCCTACAGTGCCTGACCCAACTTAGGATATCTGTGAATAATAGCCATTGCTATTGCCTTGCCAAATGGGGTGGTCACCCTGCTCTCTGTTCCTTATCCCATAGTCTTGGATAGTACAGTCCTCAAAAATCCAAGGTGCTGCAGAGAGTGACAGATGCTAGGAAGCTCCAGTTCTGGGGTCTGGTCCCTAGAGAAGGAAATCAACAGCCCAGAGCTTTGAAGCTCTTCTCAAGTTGATGTATAGCCACAGACCCATCCTTTAGGCCCCCTTGGGCTCCTTCTTGGTGATGAGCTGTGCTGAGAGGCATGGCCACAGGGAAATAGATGCAACATGCCTGTGTGCTAACACGCCACCATATTATCAAATAACAAACGCCAGCACCAACACATGTTCTGCCAGTTCTTTTCCTTTCTACCTGCCAACTCATTCCTCTGACCCGGGCTCAATTTGGCATCCATATAATTTCATTATCTCTTTTGGCTGACAGCACCCAGGTCATGAAACCATTGGTGTTGAACTTTCTGCTCTAGTAAGATTGAGGGGGCTGTGAAAGAAACCAGAGTGACAAGATGTTAATTCCTTCAGTGCTCGAATTTGAAACCCTCCCTCCAAAACACTTCCTCTGAGTAGCAGGACTGCATAACCCTCAGACCACAGCAGGCTAGCCTGAGGCCAAAGAACCCTGAGACCCAAGACCACTAATGTCCCAGGCCTTTGATGGATACCCAGGTCCCTCAACTGCTTTCTTCCCCTCTCCACTCACCCTTCCCATAAAGATTTATGCTCCACCACACACAAATGCACTGGGTAAAATATGTGATGAGGAGACAAGGAGAATAGTTCATAAATATTCCCAGCCATATGCAAACAATCTCAAATTTATTTTTCTCTTTTTTAAGGAGGAAAAAAAAATCCACCCATTCCATGATCACTTCCAGATTCATTGAGGTTGATATTACATAAGACCCAATATTGTTTTCTCATCGTAGAGAAATAATGACTTGGAAACGGCAATTCGAGCTAAGAAAATAATATACTCTTACCAGGGCATGGAGGCTGAATGGGGACCAGGGAACCAAGACTCCAGCTCAGCCTCCAACAAGCTCTTGCAGGCACAGCTCAGCCCTGGGATGCTGGCTTGCTTTGAATAGCAGGGGTACTGATGGGCAAGCAGCCATGCAGACCCTTTGGGGCTCAAAATTCACTTGCAGCAGAACAGATGTCAAAGGTGCTCTTTGAAAGCACAGGAGCAGCTCTGTGGGCCCCAGTTGCTGTACTCCCAGTTCCTCATGCATGTTTTTTTCTCTGGCATGTGAACTTGCAAAGAGAGAAAAAACAGGGGTCCACCTCTAACCGTCGTCTGCAGGCTGGATGGTGGTCTGTTCGACTCTCCAGTGGAGCGTGGAGCTATTGGGAGCTGGTTCCAGGCCAAGCACCCTCTGCCCTGCTATCTTCCTGTTAGAGCTCCGATCCTCTTCCAGTACCAGGAACAAGTACATTTACTGCATTTCTGAAGTGAACCAGGGATGTGTATGCCATCTGTCATTTAAATACACAATGAGGCCATTGAGATGGGAATTATTATTCAGCCCCATTTAACAGATAAAGCAATTGAGTCTTAGATTTAGCCAAGGCACACATGCTTGTCCAAGCAAACTATACAAAGTACTCCTGGAGTGCACAATGAAAACGTCCCTAGTTTTGTTTTTAACTGCTGTGGTCTTCCTCACAAGCTACCAACCCCTGTGTAAGAGGAAAACAATAATTCTAATTAATCCATTCTGGATTATAACCTAATCTGATGTAATAATTAAATAGTTCCTCTACAGAATTCTCAGTCTCTTTTACATAAAAATACTTCATTTCTCTGAAAGCTCCCCTCTCCTCTGCTCTTCTCCCTCCATAAATAGGGTGGGGCACAGAGAAGGCTCTGGCAAGGTGGGTGTCCTGGGATCTCTGGGGTAAAAGGCTTTGGGGAGTTACCACAGGTCCCACGTCTTTTCTCAGTTATGCTGAACCTCCACTTCCTTCTAGAGTAATCATGGGAATATTGACTCCCTTCTAGAGTAATCATGGGAATCAAGGGTGGTGGTCAGAAGTGAGCTGCCTGCTTCCTTCCAAAGCCCTGGAGGGGCTCCCAAGTAAAGCACATGCGCTTCCCAGCCAAGTCTCTACTTTCCTGACCTACCTGCCTTTCTCTTCACCTTCCCCCACAAATCCCCTGGAACACAAGAGGTGGGCTTTCCTTTTCATTTTCCTATGTCAAATAGTCCATCAAGCACAGAGCAGCAAGCCTTCCTGCCTTGTACAGGCAGAAGGGCCATCTCTTCTCTGTGAGAGGAGTCCTCATGCTAAAACTGAGAGATACAGGAATTTAGATTTTAAGACAATACCTTAACTTGCAAGGTGATTGTCTTGTTGAAAATGCTATTTTGAGTATCAGAAGCTAAATACTAAATTCCTTTTCTCCCCTTATAAGACGTTCTTTAATACCCTCATCTCTCCTGGGGCCAATGGGTGCCTAGGGCAAAGAAAGGAAAATTCTCAGAAAGGCAAAGAGAAAAGTCATTCAAATTATCAGTGCTACCATTCA